ATCACTTCAGATTCTTCTTCGGGATACGAATCTACGGACTCTGAAACAGAAGATCAAAAAAGGTCTAACGAATACAATGTTCCTGTGAATCGTCAAGAGATTGGTCACGTGAGTGCACGAGTTAAAAGTACGCATTCGCTATGTGAGAGTCTTAAATTGATCATGGAGATCCCAGAACTGTGTGACGTCACATTTCTCGTAGGACCAAAGGAAATCCCGGTCTATGGCGTTCGTGCTATTTTGGGAACACGGAGCAAGTAAGTTTTCAGGAATAATTTATATCAGATTTCATGTATTTGTTTGGTTGATATTCTAATATAAAATATTTTGTACTTTTACGTTTTTATATACTGGTGACAAATATTCAATACATGTTGAAATCATTTACTTACTTTCCTTGTAGTACATTACTTGAAAGATTTTAAAGGAAGAAATACATGTATATGAAAAATATCATTTGATTTAATTTTCTTTAAAAATGATTTCATATAGGGTCCTCTACCAGCTTATTATCAAGCATTTGAACCTGCGCGAGGCTGAACTCAAATACAACAAACCATCAGTTTGCGGAGGGCGACTAACTATTCCTGTCCGGAAATACGATACCGAGGTGTTCCGAATGCTAATCCAGTTTGTTCACAGTGGTACAGCAACCATCACAGATACTGCAGTTTTTGGTGAGAAAATGTTTCTTAACGAATTATTTTTAGCTATATTCCACAAGTTATAAAATACATTGATAAGCCGCCAAAATACCCTGATAAACCAATGTATCAATCATTCTGTTTATCATATTTATTTAAGAAATGTGTTCATTTATTTCATGTAACTCTTCCGCAAGAACTTATTTTTAGCGAGGAAGGACCGCCGTTCGTCAGATTTACATACAATAATCATGTGCTTATTTCAGAGCACAATTAAAGGTCAAATATTAGACATGTGGACTTTGGATCAATGAACGAGAAACCATATGCTGTAACTGAATATTTAAACAATGTTATAACAATTTTGTTATAATTTTATTACATTTATTTTTCTTATATTTCAAGGTTTACTGTGCGGAGCATATCAATTTGAGTTGAGGGACTTAGAAGAAGCATGTTGGGAATATATTGGCCGGCGTATAGAACACGGCTGTGTTGACGTCATCTTAACGTCTGCAAGGGCCTACAAACAACATCGAAATGCTAATGAAATATACAATACAGTGAGTAATTTAATATTAGCACATTTGTTGAATAATTTCTGAAATTTATTTTATAAGTTTTTAAGAACCGAGTTAACAGGGTGAGTGATTAGTACGAGAAATTGATAACACGGAGTTCGTTTTCCGTCTCCATGGACGTCATGACGTGTCTGAAAACACTTGTTATACCTATAACAAATTCCCTGTTTAGTATCCTAGTCACTTCTAGATTATTTGCAAATTGTATAATTATGATAATATTTAAGCTTTTAAACCAATATCAATTCCTGTTGTTGACATGCAAATACAAATGAAAGAAATATGAAAGTTAATAGGTTCTGAACTTCTGATGCCCAATGGATAGAGCAATACTTGTTTCAGTAGTCAACGTCATTTGTTAAGAGCACTTTTCAAGGTTTTGTTATATATTTTAATATTTTATTCTCTTTGCAGATTTATTTCTCACTAGAGAAACAGAAGAGATCCGCGGTATGCTCTTCAAGAGATCGGTTCGTTTGAAGCAACTCGGGGTTATCAAGAATCCTACACAAACGATCACAAGTCCTGTCATACACTTGGGATACTCAGGTCCTCAAAGGATGGGCTAACAGAATGTTTAATCCTGCCACCGGATTATCAATATGTTCGATACTCTCCGATGACAACTACCCCGAGATGTTTCTGATTTTTATCTAAAATCATCAACTAACATGAGGGTGAACCACGCTTTCAGTCTACCACCACGTGTGTAAAACTGCACATGACATGATAGAAATATGTGTTAATCTAGCACATGACATGATAGAAATATGTGTTAATCTAGCACATGACATGATAGAAATATGTGTAAATCTAGCACATGACATGATAGAAATATGTGTAAATCAAGCACATGACATGATAGAAATATGTGTAAATCAAGCACATGACATGATAGAAATATGTGTAAATCAAGCACATGACATGATAGAAATATGTGTAAATCAAGCACATGACATGATTGAAATATGTGTAAATCAAGCACATGACATAATAGAAATATGTGTTAATCTAGCACATGACATGATAGAAAGTCCGAACAACCAACGAACAAACGTGTAACTAGTGTTTGTAATGAAACAACGGATATTTATATAGAATTGCAATGGAACATCAGAAAATAAACAAATATTGAAACGAGATTCGTGATTATACATTTTTCCTGTTTAAACTTGTTAGTTTCGGAGTGTTGATGAGATCACGGATTTAAATAAGCTGTCTTATTTTAACAGCCTTAGACAAAAATTATTTAAATATTGTACTGTGTAAATTATCATTTATGTTTGTATAAATATAACTTGTATATTCTATAAGATGAATTTTGTTGTTAAGGATGTAAAATGTATATCAAATCACTGATCTGAAGTAAAATGTTTACACGGTGGAAAGCCTTTTGTTGTTTTTACCCTCAATCTGTAGTATGTAGCTAGACGGTTTTCATTCAAGAATAACACTTCCGTTACGACCACATTTCTGGAATTGATTTTCTAAATTTATCTGAAACAGAAACCTTAAGTTTAAATATTTTATTTAAAGCATTTTACACAAACAAAATTCACATACAAAGATGAAAAACACAGTACAATGCTGAACCGAAAGCATAAAAGACCTTTTCCTAACAAAAGATTTATTACTATAAATAAGACGGGTTTGATAGAAAACTATAAAAGCCAGAATATCATGCTATCATTTGGTCATTAAATTCATTTCTTTGATAGACAAAGAGACACTTTAAAGTTAATTGTTCTTGGGTATTGTACAAAATGAGTTGCATCTAGATACACATTCAGCGTTTCATCTTAAGTATATAAATGTTTATTGTTTTGTCTGTTTCCCTGTGCATTAAATAAGAAAATAAACTAATCCGTAGAACAAATATCAGACTTTCGTCCGATGTGTATACTCTTAAATCCTTTAATCTGCTAATTATATAGTTTTGACATACAGCTATTTATTGTTTCTGTAATAATAGTCTCTGGTTTTGATTTTTGCACTATTGAAATGATACAAAGAAACAAAGCTAACACATTTCGAGTATTCTGTGTGCACTTAACACTTTCCTTACTAATTCTTGTTGCGTTTCCTCAAACTCTTGCAAAGTAGGAATTTTATCAGAACCTGATATATCTGTTTAAACAAATCAATAGATATCTTATGTTACCTACACTGTGCATGAGCCAATCTATACATCTGATACAATCAATAATGTTTGAATTTGAAAAAAGGATACTTCTAAAATACAAGTATGAAAGAAATGTGTTTGTATATTTCTTTATTAATGGCCCTGGTACGAATTTATTACTAAACGGTGACAACCCTATTAGAAATAGCAGCATGCTATTGTGTTCCGGGATATTTTATTCTGTTCATTTACACTTTTCATGTATGTTAATTAAAGGAACTCAACTGATGTCCAAAAGCCTAAACATATGTATTTTGAATTTCCTACATACATCAACGGGGACAATTAAAGCAGAAAGATATGCAAAAGATAATTAATAAATGTAAAATCGTATTTTTGAGCTTTTCATAGTCCGTTTTGAGTGAAAAGCGATGCAACGCTTTTCAAATTTGGAGATTTTTTTCACAATTAAGATAAATATCCTGGAAAAACGAACTGAGCGAATGATCCAGAATTGTGCACATACGTTTGTTATATAGACCCCCATCAAATGGAACATTAATCTCGAAAAACTATTTCCAGTGCCATCGTGTCAAAAGACCTCAGTGGAATCCCTTTAACAGAGACATTCATTGTTTCTTATCTTTTGAGCATTGACCATATTTTGAAAGCTTCACAATTTTACATTTATTAAAGTTTATAAAATATTTTATTAGATATAGTTTTATATCCTTGAAGGATTTTGCACTCCAATTTTATTTGGTTTATAGTGAATGTCATCTTACACCATAATATAGATTTTATTATAACCATCTAAATAAATGTAATCGCGAAGATGTCACCTTTTGCTATATCTATTGTAGCCCCAACGTTGATTCATACGCATGGAGTAATACAGGATGCCACATATTCAAGTTCAATCATGATTTTTGACGGCAATGTACATTTAAAAACGTGCGTCCGTGCAAATTCGACAAAATCGAATATTTTCAGTTCTACCGCGAACAAATGTTTCTGAGCAGGTGCATGTAACGCGATTGTTCCTGCCAAAATAGTTAGATATACTAGGTCCATAACACAGACAGAATTATGCAATGCACAGGGACACATTAAAAATTCTTGTGAGGATGGGAATCTCTATGACTATGGTTGAAAGAGTGTCAGTCGTTCGAAAGATATAACACGTGTTTCAGTTATGTTTAAAGATACTTCCTCTCTCATTTAGCATTGTTGTTTAGTTTATTATTGTCATGGACTGTCAAACACAGCGTATTGTCAGTACAAATCTTGGTTTAAGATAAAAGAAAAAAACATCTCTTAAATTTTGTTTGCTTATTTTCACAGAGTATCTATGAACAAAACGAACGTAATAAAAAGGCAGCAGTTGGTGTACTGACTAAAAATATCAATAATTTATTAATTAATATACTTAGTTTTCGTAGAAGTAAACTAATGTATTATTATATTTCTCCAGCTTTACATTTAAGTACGTCTGTTTTAATTTTGAAAGGTTTATTTAAAGAAATTCTTAGACCAAGCTTTTTACTCCAACTAAATATCGCCTTGCGCTCAACAACCGTTCGCTCCATCTATTGCCCTTTTGCTTCACCACTCTCGAAAAATTTCGATATACAAATTTAAGTAATCCATCAGTTGTAGTTTATTTTGCACGAAAGACAAGTTATTGCTACAGGTTGATATTTGTGTAATACACTTTTCATTAGATCCGAAGTGTAGAGCGTTTCCATGGTTGTAAGTTCGATATCTTACAAATCGTCGTTCACTTCGTCAGGGGGAAAGTTCTCCCAGCTTAGATCATTGGAAGCCTTAAACAATCCTACACGGAACTTCATGGATCGAAAATATAAGCAATACTTACAATTAGCATTTCGCTCGATCAGGAAATGCCGTTCGCTCGTTTTTCCGTACACCACAATTTTGAAGTGGAGTGATAGTGTCGGCCGATTAGTTTGTCAAAAAGTTCTAATATAAAATATGACTAAGGTATGCACAATTAAAGCATATAGATTGCATTCATTACGATGGTTCATTTATGCCATGTCCAGATGTCGTATTTTGACTCCGCGGGGCGCCAGGCGAAAACACGAAAATACGTCAGTGATCCAATAAATAAATAAAGAAAGAAAGAAATAAAAAAAAACAAAAAAAACAACACAACAATAAAAAACAACAAACAAACAAACAAATAACAAAACTTGCTAACAATTTCTATGTCTGTTCCCTGATACTTAAAATTTAAAATTCTAATTCTTTTTTTCATATCATTACTTTTTTCCTTTCGTTTATTATACATCTCAATTTTGAACATTATCCTTTTAAAACGTCAAAATGGAGAAAAATAAGAATCCCTAACCCTCTTTGAGTATAATTCAGTTTCAGAAATGATAGCTATAAAGGGACATCTTTCAGGTTTATTCTGCCGGTTATATTTAACATCGACTATAATTTTGATTCATTTTCAAGATCGAAGTCTGACTGGGTTCCATTTTTTGCGCTGTTAATTTATTGCCTTTTGAAAGCCCATATCATTTTCTGGTTTGTCAGCAAATGTTGTTTTGGGGTATATTATTTGCATACCATGTGTTACATAAATGTTTTTATAGAACGTGCTTATAATTCAAATGATACGGAAGTTATCGCTAAATGCAATGAATTTTTTTTGCAGCAGATTGTTCTATCCGTGGCGTGTTGCCATCTCAGTAACCTTTGTTGGTATAATACAATTTTACATAATCTTGGAATTACAACACCACACTTTGCATGAAAATAGGGATTTATAGTTAATGCTATTATGAATCTATGCATGTTGATTACTTAACAGATAACATGCTGGAAATCAGTTTAGCACCACGTGGCGTATTAAGGTTTTCTTTAAGGTACCAAATCCAATTTATATTCCGATTCGGAGGAGAAACTGCTAAAATATTGTATTTCTTCATTTATTTGAATGAAAAATAGCGCACTCTAAGCGGGAAACTCTTCTCTACATATAGGTCTAAGTGATATTTGTTGTAAGATATTAATTAATTCTTTCCTAACAATAAGGAAAAATGTCGGAGTTCCTTTCGGAAGTAGTCAGCGACTTTTTGCATTTATACCACCACGTTAGAAAATATTCATTTTGTGACAAAATCATATAACAAATGCATAATTACAGTTGGCAAAAACAAAAAAGACTTAGTAAAATACTCAATGACGTATACATGTGTATTTAGGGATTGTATATGGCAACTATGTATATAAGCATTTAATTGTTCCAATTCAACTATATCTCAATGTCACTTCGTACATTTTATAAGTAACAGTAACATTTGTTATATCCTGTTAAGTTATGTGTTGAAATTCCATGAAAACATTTTGCGCATCATTAAAGTTAACACGATTAATAAAGAACGTATCCGAATTAAGTTTGTCTTACTGTAAGCTCTAAATTCACAAATTAGCATTAATTAATATGTCTCCTTTGATCTTCCGGTAAACCCACCATGTATAACTTTTTTAAATCAAGTATGCCAATATTATTTATAAGGAGTGACATTATGTAATGATTTGCCATTGAGGTAAAGGACTGATCAACGGTACAACATGGATAGTAGCACATATATAATTTTCTTTATTTTGCCATTCTCCTTTGCGGAAAATGGGACAACATCCCAAACTCCCACAACGTCTTTAGGTTTACCAACTACAATAGCAGCAAAAGAGACATGTGAATGCCTAAACATAACGGGACTACAAAAGGACTTAGATAAAATATTTACAGTCTTAGGTCAAACTGTAAAACTTGATCTGTATCGTTCAGAAATAAATGGCATTTCATCAGAGCTTAAAGAAATAAAAGAAGCGGTACAAGATAAAACCTGTCAGTGTACAGAGGGAAGTATACTAATTCAATTGGAGGAAAAGACCAACAAGAAGATTGACGATGCTCTAACGCTGGCAAACGCAAGTGCAATGTGTGCCTGTGAAAATCGTAAGGAAATGTCAAATGACACGCAAATTATTCTAGGAAGAATAGATAAACTAGGATCACTGACGAGTGCAATTCATAAAAATGTTATGGACTGTGAAGAAGAATTAAATAGATTTGAATCCAAGTTAGATATCATTATAAGCAATACTTCTGAAAATAATAGCTTAGACATTTCATCTTTAAAGCATAATGTTAACGAAATTCTTGTTAAAGTTTGTGAAATGCAGAAAGATGGTTGCAAATGTGAAGACCAGTTCAAAGTTATTCATGACAAGGTTATTGAAAGAGTGAAAGCCGTTCTAGACAAA